TTTGTTTCTTTGTTTTTTGGAGATGTCTTGCCTTGTAGTTTAGGCTGGCCTTGAACTCACTAGTAGTCCAGGTTGGCCTTGAACTTGCAGCAATACTCCTCCCTCAGCCTCTTATCTGTATAAATATCAAGTTAATGTGAATCCACATAAAACCTCAAAATAAAGATAAATCGTCAGTGCCTGCTTCAGTCAAAGGAGGAAAGCCAGGTCATTTACTATCACAGGGCTTCTACTAGGGGTTAGTTATAGGACCAGCACTTTTTGTTCTAGGGGAGTAGATGGAATTGCCATTTGATATGATTTAAGGGCAGCAGAAAGTTTTCTTACCCTGAAATATTTTTCCCAAGTGACCTAAAAAGATTTGTTATCCATCCTGAAATCCCATCATCTTGGGTATTACTTACCATTTACAAAATCCTTTGCCAGGCATGGTGGTGCATGCCTGTTATCCCAGAACTCGGGAGGCTGGGGCAGGAGGATTGCCTCGAGTTTGAGGCCAGCCTGGGCTACATGGTGAGCTCATGTAGCGGAACTACTTGGCAAGACCTTGCCTCAAAAAAAAGCTTTTCAAGGGCTGAGGATTTAGCTCAGTGGTTCTGCCCCTGCTTCAAAAGCGAAAGGGCCTGAGTTTGATTCCCAGTACCAAGAAAACAACAAAAAAAGTCTTTTCTATTAAGGCTGGGGCTGTAGCTCTGGGGTAAGATTTCTCCCCTAACAAGGGGTGGGGGTGGATCCCCACCACTGAGCTGCAGCAGAGAAACCATTGATACGATGCTCACATCCCACCCATTCCTACCAGCCAGAACAAACTCAATTGCTTTCCCCCTGCTAAATTTCATTAAGATTTGATGAGATGAGACTAATCTGATGAAAGAAGCAGGAGAAATGATTTTGTTTTGTTTTGGTTTTGGTCCCAAGGATCAAACTTGGGTTCTTGCACTTTCAGGGCAGGCAGTGGAACCACTGAGCTAAATCCCCAGCCCTTTTGTTTTGTCTTTTTTGAGACAGGGTCTCGCTAGTTAGTACAGGCTGGCCTTGAACTCACTATGTAGCTCAGGCTGGCCTCAAATTCGAGGCAATCCTCCTGCCTCATGCTCCCCAAGTGCTGGGATTACAGGTGTGCATCACCATGCCCAGCAGGAAGAAGTAATTTTGACTTGTCTGGAGGAGAAAAGGCAAGAACCAAGCCAAGAAAAGCCAGCACAAGGATTCCAGAGGCAGAAGTTGCTTCTCCGTGGCTGATGTAAGCGCTCAACACTCAGAGTCCAGCTTCAGTGTCTCCACAGGGGAACACTGTCCTGGCCGCCTGCAGCTCCAAAGAGTCGGCTAGTTGCTTCACAAAGTAGGTGAGTATCCAGCTGCCTGTGAGCAGTGGGCCAGAGAGACAGCATCAGATGCTGTGCTGCTGAGTAAGAGACAGGGCTGGTTGGGGGCAGAATCTGGTTTTGGTAGAGCAGGGTGTTTAGGGTTTCATTTGCCACACTGGGCAGCTCCCTTCAGTCTCTGTTACTCTGAGCACAGGCCAAGAGGTTCTGGGGGAGCAGCATATGCTCTACCACTGAGCTACATCCTAGACTATCCTCCCCGACTCCCCTCACTAGGCACTGAACCCAGAGCCTTTGCACTGAGCTGTATCTCTAGGCTTTTTTTGTAAAATTTTTAATTTTGAGACAGAGTTTCACTAAGTCACTAAATTGCCTCAGAACTTGTGACTTTCCTGCCTAACCCTCCCTGGCGGCTAGGATTATAGCTTCACACCACCACACTTGCTTAAGCAAATTTCTTTTAAGAGACAGACTCTCACTGCGTTGGCCAGGCTGGCCCCAAACCCCTGGGCTCAAGTGATTCTCCTGCCTCAGCTTCCCAGGAAGCTGGGACTACAAGTGTGATTCTCCACTGCCCCTGGCTTGTCAACTCCCCCCCCCCCCCCAGGTTGGGGATTGAATCCAGGACCTTGCAAGTGCTCTACCACTGTCACTGGCTCTTCGCCCACTGAGATCGAAGTTTCAGTTTTCAAAAAATATGTCCCAGGGGCTGGGGATTTAGCTCAGTGGTTCTGCCACCTGTCTTGCAAGCACAAGGTCCTGAGTTCGATCCCTGGTACCAAAAAAAAGTCCCATGATTCCACTGTGTAATACCCAATTTTGCCATAACTGAAATCAACAAACCTCAAAATGCCCCTCTTAGTTTTCCAGCAGTTATGCATTAGTTCACCCAGTGAGTACCTACTCTCCCTGTGATCCCTGAAAACCTGCCTGTGTGGAACCCACTGCCAGCCCTCCAAAGTGAAGAGAATGGAGATTGGCTTACTAAATTCTGGGTCTGATTCCAGCTGCTTTCTGCTGGTGCCCCAAGCACTTCATACCAAATCAATCCTTCCCAAACTGGAATTTATCTTGCCTCTTGCCAGGGTCCAGTCCATCCCCTCACTACAACTATCAGCTCAGGCTCAGAGCAGAAAATGAAGTTGCCTGGGTTTGAATCTCCCCTCTGCCTCTTAGCACCTGTATGACCTTAGGCAAGTCAGTAACCTCTCCTAGCACAAACAGGAATGCTTGTGAGGACAAAGAAGTATTGTGTACATCCGGGGTGCAGCGCCTGCTTTAGAACGTCGGCTAATGTCAGCTGCATTCTGTCATCACCCACCCCTTTTCTTTGGCCTCTTCTTGTGTTTACTCCTTAGTTTCTTGTCTGGGCAGAAGTGTCCTCCCTGGCCTGCTCCTCATCAGTGTGTCTGTCCTCGCTGCATCCCTGTTCACTCTTGGACACAGCTTAACGCAGACCCAGTCCTCAGCGAATCCTTTCTCAGCTTCCCCACCTGAGGACTGTCCATTGGGAAAGTAGGGTAACCTGGCCTCTAAAGCCCGCCCCCTCTGGGCCCTGCAGGATCCTTCAGCACTGCTGTCTGCCCCCTGCCCACCCCCCTTTAACTCACCCCTAAGAGACCTCCCACCGTGGGGTATTTTTCAGTTCCCATACAGCGCTTTCCTTTGAAATGCTTTTGCCCTTTATCAGTCCTCTACTTCCCACTTTCCTTAACTTGGTTAATTCCTCTAGTCCTCCAGGTCTTACCCAGACACCTGTCCTATTATACGACCAACTTAGTATATGCTCTTTTGGTACCCGGCAGTTTCCCCCCTTCTGCCGTTTTTTTCAGTTGTAATGATGTTTCTGAGATTGACCGACGTTTGTGTCCCCCCACAAGACTGTGTACACTAGACTACGAGTGCAAAAGGGTGGCAGCCACATTTGCTGAGTGAATAAAGGAATGAATAAGTTTTTTTCTTGGTAAGCCCGGTGACCAAGCACAATGTATATCAGAGCATCTCAGAATCTCTCTAAATACTTGTTATTGGAGCAATGGATGAGAACACTGTTAATAAGTGTCTGGGCCTGTATAACAGAAATCCATTCTTCAACTGACTTTTGGGCTTTGGGGACCAACACGTAAGTAGCCTGTGATGCTTGCGCCCAGGAACATGTTTTTTTACTTTCCCAACCTCAAGAAACACGGTTCGGATGTGCTAATGGCCCCAGAGGAAGATAGGAGCCACAACAAGCAAAATATTAAATCGAGAACAGAAGTAGAATCATCAACACAGGCACAGACTGCTAATGTGATGAGGGGGCTAAACTCAGCGGCTTGTAGTAGGACCTAGGGTAACTTGACTCTCTGGCTGCCCTGCAGCGCCTAGTGCAGAAACTTGGGTTCTCAGGAGAGGCCTCGCAATAAGCGAAGGAGATCTGCGGGCGGTGGAGAAGCTGGGAATGAAGGGGAGGAGAGTATGTGTTCCCAAAATCCCACATAAAAAAAGCACCATTTTTAATTTCCACACGTAGATCTCACACAGAAACGCAGCCAGGACTTGCGAATGTCTGACACTGGCGCGTGCTGCTCTCGGCCATCAAAGCCTTGCACGTGAGGCTGCACATTTGGGGAAGGCGCTCTCCAGGTGCCGAGGCCGCTTCTCTACTCCTCCGCAGCGCGAGGCCTATGGAAGAGACTTGCTTCGCGCAAGGCGTCTCGGCCCGGCAGGCGCGGCCGCTCCCGGCCGAGGGGAAGCCACGCAGCCGGTTTTCTTCGGGAATGCGTGGAGTTGGGAAGGGCTCCGCCCACAGGACAGGAGGGGTGGCCCACAGCAGCCCGAGGCTTCGCGTGGGCGCGGGACGACCCTCCGGGCGGGCAGGAAGACACCTGAGGGAAACAAAGCCCCACGGACAGGGAAAGAGCCACCGCGAGCCGGCAGCCAGGACTACCGGCGCCGCCTGGGACCGGCCCCGCTCCTCTGCGCCTGCGCGCCCTCGGAAGCCCCGCCCAGGAAAGGGCCCGCACGTTTGGAGCCCCGCCCCTTGAGCGCCAGCGCGCGGCCGCGCCTCCTCATGGCGGCCGCCGCAGTGTGTGGTATTTAGCGGGCGCGCGCGGCGGGCTCGAGGACGCGCGAAACGGCGGCGGCGGCGGCCAGGGGGGAGCCGGGCGGCCGTGGCGGGGCGCGCTCTCGAGCAGCGGCGGCGGCGGACCAGCGAGTCCGGCGGTCTCGGCACGGGCAGAGGTGGCGGCGCGGCCCGCGGTGGCGGGGCCTGGAGACGGAGCGCGTGTGAGCCGGACCGGGGTCCGAGGCGCGCTCTCCGCCCACAGGTAAGCGGGGCCCGGCCGGAGGGAGGAGCCGGCGGGCTTGGAGGAGGGCCGGGCCCGCCATGGCGGCGGCGGCGGCCCAGCCGGCCGGGACGCTCCGCGGGGCCGGGCGCCTTTGTCTCGCCGCGCTCGCCCCCCTCGCCCCCCCCGCTGGATCCCCGCGACTCCGTGGGGTCGTGGGCCGGGCCGGGCGGCGCCCGCGTGCCGCCTTTGTTGCGGGCCGGGTGCGTGGCCAACATGGCGGAGGTCAGCGCGCGGCCCGCCCGCCTCGGCCTCCGCGCCCGCCGCCCGGCCGCGCGTGCAGCCGCCTCCCTTGTTGATGTCGTTGAGCCGGGCGCGTGCACGCCGGCCGGCCGGGCGACTGCAGGCGGTGCTGCCCGCCGCTGCTGGCGCCAGTGCTCGCAGTGCGGGGCTCCCGCCCCGGGGCAACCGAGTGGGTTGGTGACCACCCGGCCACGCCGTGCAGCCTAGGCCTTGACATCGCATCCGTACCCCCCAAGGGGGACCGTGCCTGACGTTCAGGGGCAAAGCTCATCTGCCCGGGTCACCGGGGCCTTGGACGCGGACGCAGGGGGGTGATCGCACTCCCGAACCTTTCCCATTCTTGACGAGCAGCTGTCACGGATACAGGGCTAACTCTTGGGGGCGGGACCTCGGGACCACGGCCTCCTCCAACTCCAGTCCCTCCTCACGGGTGTGTGACCTTGAGGGAGAGCCCCAACCTCCGCGTGCTCATGTTGCTTATCTGCAAAATGGGTGTCCTGACAGTACTTAGCTCCAGCGTTGTTGAGAGAGCTGGTGCGATGGAAAGAGCCCAAGTGTTCAGAGCCCAGGCAGCTCCATAGTAAGTGCTCAATAAACGCTTAGTGCTATTGCCTGGTTAGTAGCTTGAGAGGTTGTCTTGGTTTGAAATGTTGGAAGTGCTTAGCTCCGAGTTTGTGAAATCACATTCTAAATCATAATTGCTTGGTTTTTCTGTCAGTTCTTTTTGTTGTTGAAAAGGAAAAGGAGATTTAGATGCTCAGTTGGGATGCCTTCTGAGATGCCAGCAGTTTGGAACTTGTGATGAGATTTGAGTGAGTAGATCTTATATGGTCTGGATTTAGAAAATCAAGTTGATTAAAATTGAAGTTTTCTTTTAGCAGTTGTAGGTTATGGATCAGTTTGCTTTCAAAGACTTTAGTTAACTAACTTAGAAAAGTGTCCTTAAATTGAGTGTTAGGTATCTGTGGTGTCACATCTCTTACAAGTTACTGGAGAGCAAAGTGTAATGTGACAAATATACTGGTTTGAATTATGGTGGAAAGGATTTTGGTTACCGCTGTTAGAACTTTGAGACTGGTTCGTTGGTGGTTTTTTGGGAGAGTCCAGCTTTGTAGACCAGGCTAACCTGGAACTCTCCTGCCACAGCCTCCCAAGAGTGCTGGGATTACACCCTTATGCCACCATAGCCAGCTCTGATTGGTAGCTTTTGAGACTTAAAGTAGATTACATAAATTCTGTACTTTTTCATTCTGGAAGTTAAATAATGATACAACTATCTGTTATTTGGAAAGGTTAGCTGCAATTTTTCCAGAATTTTTTTCCTTAACGTTTGCTTTGGCCAAAAATTTCATTTAGGTATACAGTATGTGCAACTTGAATGACAACTTTTGACATCTTTCCAGTGTAGTTTAGTAACAATCAGTAATATTGTCAGCTGAAATACAGTATAGCATATATATGGAACTGTTAACTATTTACATTTATTCCACAAAGTACACATTCAGAAACAAATGTAATTCAGTTTACATCTGTTCATTTACATCTTAATGTTTGTTCCCTCAGAGCTTCAGGAAATTCTTGGAAAATTACTGTAGAACTGTATTTGCTTAATATCTGTAATTAAAAGGAATATTATAATTAAGTTAAAATTAATAGAAGTTACAAAGGAAATATTTAGTTGTATCGATAATAGAATAGGGTTTTATTTTCAGTAAGATGTTTTGAAAGCTAATCTTACATAATAAGGGTAACAAAGTAAGCTTAGTAACTTTGTAAAGTTGTAGGTGACTACACTGTATTTAAAACTTTTAATTTTAGGTAAGTTTTATTTTTTTCTTTTTGAGATAGGGTCTCACTGTAGTTCAGGGTGGCCTTGAACTCATTATGTAGTCTACGGTGACCTCAAACTCAAGGCAGCCCTCCTGCCTCACTGTCCTAAGTGGTTGGGAGTATAGGTGTGGGCCACCATGCCTGGTTAATGTACATAATTTTTAAAGATGGGAGGTTTTATTTGCTTAAGGAGGTCTATTACAAATTTATTTTTGGTTATAAATTATGGAATTTTTTTCCTTTTTTTTTGGTACCGGGGATTGAACTCGGGTCCTTGTGCTTGCAAGGCAGGGGGCGGAACCACTGAGCTAAATCCCCAGCCCACATTATGGAATTTCTGTTTACACCTCATAAAATGGTCATGCTTGTAGACATTTTGGTACAAGCTTCTCAACAAAATCAGTATGAAAAGTTAGCCTCCCCCACAAAAAAATCCAGGGGGTGGAATTTTCTCTTTACAATAAATATACTTAGTGATGGTCTTTTTTTGTTTATTTTTGTTTTCTGAGACAGGGTCTCTATGTATAGTTCATCCTGGCCTTGAACTCACTGTGTAGCCCAGGCTGGCCAAACTCAAGGCAGTCCTCTTACCTCAGTCTTCCAGTGTTGGGATTACAGGGGTGTGCCATCACGCCCAGTTTAAATAGATGATTTCTAATGCATTTTAAATGATTTGTTTTTCATGGCTCTAGTTACCAGAGCATCTGTATGAGGGCAGGAAATGTGTGTTTTTAATTGCTACATCCTTTTTCTTTTTTTCTGAGACAAAGTCTCTGTGTATTTCAGGCTGACCTTGAAGTCATTGTAGCCCAGGCTGCCTCAGCTTCTGAAGTGCTGGAATTACAGGTGTGCACTACCACACTTGGCAGTTGCTATCTCCATAGTGTTTAATACTCTATACGGGACATGCTTGTTTCCTGATCTGCTATCTACATGCCAGTGACAGTCAGATCTCTTTGTTTGTTGTGCTGTAGACCCCTACATTTTCTTATGCAGTGTTTTATTTTTTGAGACACGGTCTCGCTATGTAGCTCAGGCTGGCCTTGAACTAGCCCAGGCTGGCCTCAAACTCAGAAGTCGGCCTGCCTCAGCCTCTGGAGCTCTAGAGCTAGAGGTGTGCATCATCACACCCAGCTCACATCTGTTAACGAATGCACGTTGGTTATACAGATTGCCCGGTTGCGTTTTGGCAGATACCTACATGCACAGGACACACTTCATTATTTTCACTCTCACCTACATCCCCTTTGACCTCCATGCCTCCCTAAGTTTCTCATTTTGTGGGGGACTTTCACATATTTTGATCTTATCTATCCTGTCACTAGATTCCTACTGAGTTTTGAGAGTTCTTTGTATATTTTGGAAAACACTCCTTTATCAGATAAGTCTTTGGCAGATACTTTCCTTTTTCTGCTAATTATCTCAAAATTAGTATTGCTTCTCCCTGTCACATTTACCTTCAGTCCTCTTGTACCTTTAAGTGGTTTGCCTGTTTTTGGTCCCAATGCTTTCAATCAGTTGTGTTGTGTTGTGTTGTGTTGTGTTGTTTTCTTTTGCAGTACTGGGAATTGAATTTACCATCCTTCTGCCTGCCCCCTAAAGTTCTGGGATTAGAGGTGTGTACCACCACACCTGGCTTTCTTGCCCTATCTTTTCAAATTTCATTCTTTTGTTCCTTAAACACTGTACATCTCTGTGCATCACTTCTGGTTGTATTTAATCCCTGAAGTTTCTGTCTGCTACTTTGGGCAGATTACTTAATTACTAAGCTCCAGTTCCCATTAGCACATGTATATTGTATGTACAGTCTCTGTATGCGTATATAGTATATTCCTGCTCTACACCCCCAGCCCAGTGTCCTAATGTATCACCTTTCATGTTTATGACTTTAAGATCCCAGAGGAACGCTGCCTACTTTTGCAATGAAAAACCACATTACCTAACACATAGAAAATAATTTTAAAGCTCAGTTGTAACTAAGTTACATCTCTAAATATTACCACTTACATTCTATCTAGAAAAGAAAGAAAATGACAATTTGTGATAGTACTATGCAGGAGTCATAGCTGCTGAAGCAGAGGATGGGGCGGCAGAGAGACTGCTGTCTGAGGTATCCTTGAAGGGTGATAAAGGACGGCCCTCTGAGGGAGGAGGGGAGATCTCAGACTGAAAGAAAGGAGCTCTGAGGGGAGTGTTGCAGAGGGAATGGATCAGCAGGGTTCAGATCCTGCTGTGTGGAAGCTAGGAGTGTGAAATTTAAAGAGTACTGGGTAACTGTCAGAAGTATTTAATTAAAGGGCAATATAATTCACTGGGTTTTTAATTTTTAAAAATTATTTATTTATTTTTTTGAGACAGGGTCTTGCTATGTAGTGTAGACTGGCCTTGAACTCCCTGTGTAGCCCAGGCTGGCTCGAACTCTCAGTGATCCTCCTGCTTCAGCCTCCTGAGTGCTGGGATCACCAGGTGTGCGCCACCATGCCCAGCCAGTCCACTTTAAAGATTGCTCTAGCTGATAGGATACTTCGTTGCTTAGAAGGCTGTTTTTTTAGTGAGGTGATAGTTGATCATGACCTGGATTAAAGTGTGGCAGTGAAGATGAAGAGAAGTGAATGGATTTGAGCGGCCTGATATATGAATAACTTGGGTTAATTAGGTTAACGAATTTAATTCTGCCTCTTGTTATCCATAGCATGTACCCAGGTAAACATCCAGATCTCAGCTCTATTGACTTACAACCAACTTGAGTTACACCCAGCCCTCGGGAACTGATCAAGTTTGTAAGTCAAGGGTCCACTGTATTCTGAATTCAGAATTAGCAGGACTTTGGATGGATTAGACATGAGGGTGAGGGAAGGAAAGAATTAAGTTTTTGGCTGGAACAACTGTGGATCCTGTTGTAGCTTACCAAGATGAAGAAGACTGAATTCAAAGTTCTGTTATGTTGGATTTGAGATGTCTGAGGTATTTGAGATAATCCAGTGAGGTATAAAGAAAATGGGGGCCCAAGAAATCATAGAAGCCAGATGGAAGAAGAAAGAAAAATCTTTGGAGGACTAATCTGTATTTATAAAACATATTGTCAATGAGAAATAATTTCATAAAAAGTTGTAAGAATTTAATTCCAGTCTTGAATTTTACAAGAAGTATTACATTGTGTTTTTATATTTGTTATTCTCATTGACAAGCTTAGTGAAAGGAGGTGGTATCATGAAGTGCTGTGAATAAGTGTGTACCAGGTCCTCTGCAAAGATCAGCTTGGAAAGACTACTTGAATCATTGCTTTAACTAAATAATTTGTTAGGAACTTGCTTGTTTCCCTCCTATGTATTTGAACCTTTGCCCCTTTGCACTTGGCTAACGGTCTGATTTGGTACAGAATTTAAATGCTAATTTATTTATTTATTTAATTTTTTGGTACCAGGGATCAAACTTGGGTCCTTGTGCTTGCAAGGCAAGCGGCAGAACCACTGAGCTAAATCCGTGGCCCTTTTTTTGGTTTGAGACAGGGTCTCTCTGTAGTCCAGGCTTGTCTTGAACTCACTATGTAGCCCAGGCTAGCCTCAAACTTGAGGCAATCCTCCTTTCTCAGCCTCTAGAGAGCTGGGATTACAGGCATGTGCCACCATGCTGGGTTTAAGTGCTAAATTTATCACTTTTAAAACAAGTATAAACTACCGTATCTGTATGAAATAAGCTTTTTGTGAATAGGCTGATTTTTAATATTTTCTCTATTACTATCCATCAATT